TAGGCCTCTTGCCAAGCCAGCAAGGGCGTGGAAGGGTTCGAGCATCATTGGTCATCGGCCCTTGAGAATGAAGATCGCCCGCTGCACTTCCTCCACATGTGCGGATCCTAGAGCGTTTTGAGGCTAGAAGCGCTCGTTCTGAGCGTTTTTCTTCTACCAGGTCAGGTGGCTGCGCTTGTCTAGGCCTCTTGCCAAGCCAGCAAGGGCGTGGAAGGGTTGCGAGCATCATTGGTCATCGGCCCTTGAGAATGAATAGCGCCCGCTGCACTTCCTCCACATGTGCGGATCCTAGAGCGTTTTGAGGCTAGAAGCGCTCGTTCTGAGCGTTTTTGTTCCACCAAGTCACGTGGCTGCGCTTGTCTAGGCCTCTTGCCAAGCGAGCAAGGGCGTGGAAGGGTTGCGAGCATCATTGGTCGTCGGCCCTTGAGAACGAAGAGCGCCCGCTGCACTTCCTCCACATGTGCGGATCCTAGAGCGTTTTGAGGCTAGAAGCGCTCGTTCTGAGCGTTTTTCTTCTACCAAGTCACGTGGCTGCGCTTCTCTAGGCCTCTTGCCAAGCCAGCAAGGGCGTGGAAGGGTTGCGAGCATCATTGGTCATCGGCCCTTGAGAATGAAGAGCGCCCGCTGCACTTCCTCCACATGTGCGGATCCTAGCGCGTTTTGAGGCTAGAAGCGCTCGCAGTGAGCGTTTTTCTTCTACCAGGTCACGTGGCTGCGCTTGTCTAGGCCTCTTGCCAAGCCAGAAAGGGCGTGGAAGGGTTGCGAGCATCATTGGTCATCGGCCCTTGAGAATGAAGAGCGCCCGCTGCACTTCCTCCACATGTGCGGATCCTAGCGCGTTTTGAGGCTAGAAGCGCTCGCAGTGAGCGTTTTTCTTCTACCAGGTCACGTGGCTGCGCTTGTCTAGGCCTCTTGCCAAGCCAGCAAGGGTGTGGAAGGGTTGCGAGCATCATTGGTCATCGGCCCTTGAGAATGAAGAGCGCCCGCTGCATTTCCTCCACATGTGCGGATCCTAGAGCGTTTTGAGGCTAGAAGCGCTCGTTCTGAGCGTTTTTCTTCTACCAGGTCACGTGGCTGCGCTTGTTTAGGCCTCTTGCCAAGCCAGCAAGAGCGTGGAAGGGTTGCGAGCATCATTGGTCATCGGCCCTTGAGAAAGAAGAGCGCCCGCTGCACTTCCTCCACATGTGCGGCTCCTAGAGCGTTTTGAGGCTATAAGCGCCCGTTCTGAGCGTTTTTCTTCTACCAGGTCACGTGGCTGCGCTTTTCTAGGCCTCTTGCCAAGCCAGCAAGGGCGTGAAAGGGTTGCGAGCATCATTGATCATCGGCCCTTGAGAAAGAAGAGCGCCCGCTGCACTTCCTCCACATGTGCGGATCCTAGCGCGTTTTGAGGCTAGAAGCGCTCGTTCAGAGCGTTTTTCTTCTACCAGGTCACGTGGCTGCGCTTGTCTAGGCCTCTTGCCAAGCCAGCAAGGGTGTTGTAGGGTTGCGAGCATCATTGGTCATCGGCCCTTGAGAATGAAGAGCGCCCGCTGCATTTCCTCCACATGTGCGGATCCTAGAGCGTTTTGAGGCTAGAAGCGCTCGCAGTGAGCGTTTTTCTTCTACCAGGTCACGTGGCTGCGCTTGTCTAGGCCTCTTGCCAAGCCAGCAAGGGCGTGGAAGTGTTGCGAGCATCATTGGTCATCGGCCCTTGAGAACGAAGAGCGCCCGCTGCACTTCCTCCACGTGTGCGGATCCTAGCGCGTTTTGAGGATAGAAGCGCTCGCAGTGAGCGTTTTTCTTCCACCAAGTCACGTGGCTGCGCTTTTCTAGGCCTCTTGCCAAGCCAGCAAGGGCGTGGAAGGGTTGCGAGCATCATTGGTCGTCGGCCCTTGAGAACGAAGAGCGCCCGCTGCACTTCCTCCACGTGTGCGGATCCTAGCGCGTCTTGAGGCTAGAAGCGCTCGTTCTGAGTGTTTTTCTTCTACCAGGTCACGTGGCTGCGCTTGTCTAGGCCTCTTGCCAAGCCAGCAAGGGCGTGGAAGGGTTGCGAGCATCATTGGTCGTCGGCCCTTGAGAACGAAGAGCGCCCGCTGCACTTCCTCCACGTGTGCGGATCTTAGAGCGTTTTGAGGATAGAAGCGCTCGCAGTGAGCGTTTTTCTTCCACCAAGTCACGTGGCTGCGCTTGTCTAGGCCTCTTGCCAAGCCAGCAAGGGCGTGGAAGGGTTGCGAGCATTATTGGTCATCGGCCCTTGAGAACGAAGAGCGCCCGCTGCACTTCCTCCACGTGTGTGGATCCTAGCGCGTTTTGAGGCTAGAAGCGCTCGCATTGAGCGTTTTTCTTCCACCAAGTCACGTGGCTGCGCTTGTCTAGGCCTCTTGCCAAGCCAGCAAGGGCGTGGAAGGGTTGCGAGCATCATTGGTCATCGGCCCCTGAGAATGAAGAGCGCCCGCTGCACTTCCTCCACATGTGCGGATCCTAGAGCGTTTTGAGGCTAGAAGCGCTCGTTCTGAGCGTTTTTCTTCCACCAAGTCACGTGGCTGCGCTTGTCTAGGCCTCTTGCCAAGCCAGCAAGGGCGTGGAAGGGTTGCGAGCATCATTGGTCATCGGCCCTTGAGAAAGAAGAGCGCCCGCTGCACTTCCTCCACATGTGCGGCTCGTAGCGCGTTTTGAGGCTAGAAGCGCTCGCAATGAGCGTTTTTCTTCTACCAGGTCACGTGGATGCGCTTGTCTAGGCCTCTTGCCAAGCCAGCAAGGGCGTGGAAGGGTTGCAAGCATCATTGGTCATCGGCCCCTGAGAATGAAGAGCGCCCGCTGCACTTCCTCCACATGTGCGGATCCTAGCGCGTTTTGAGGCTAGAATCGCTCGTTCTGAGCGTTTTTCTTCTACCATGTCACGTGGCTGCGCTTGTCTAGGTCTCTTGCCAAGCCAGCAAGGGCGTGGAAGAGTTGCGAGCATCATTGGTCATCGGCCCTTGAGAATGAAGAGCGTCCGCTGCACTTCCTCCACATGTGCAGATCCTAGCGCGTTTTGAGGCTAGAAGCGCTCGCAGTGAGCGTTTTTCTTCCACCAAGTCGCATGGCTGCGCTTGTCTAGGCCTCTTGCCAAGCCAGCAAGGGCGTGGAAGGGTTGCGAGCATCATTGGTCATCGGCCCTTGAGAATGAAGAGCGCCCGCTGCACTTCCTCCACATCTGCGGATCCTAGCGCGTTTTGAGGCTAGAAGCTGTCGTTCTGAGTGTTTTTCTTCTACCAGGTCACGTGGCTGCGCTTGTCTAGGCCTCTTGCCAAGCCAGCAAGGGCGTGGAAGAGTTGCGAGCATTATTGGTCATCGGCCCTTGAGAATGAAGAGCGCCCGCTGCACTTTGTGCACATGTGCGGATCCTAGCGCGTTTTGAGGCTAGAAGCGCTCGCAGTGAGCGTTTTTCTTCTATGCATGTATCTACCAACTTACATAGATTCAAAAGGTTAAAGGTTGGTAGAAGGGTGGGGAATACGGTAATTACTGTATGCCTACAGAGAAGATATTGCGTTGGTCGGTTCGGTCAGTATGCACGCTTGTGATTGAACACATTGATTTCGAATGTTCAGACTTTTTGTTTTTAAACACCTCAAATTTCAGCTTTTTTTTATACCAACTCTGCGAGTTTGAGACTAAAACTGTCTACTAGTCTGACGAATCTGAGGGCCAAAAACGAATCTGAAGGCCAAAAACGAATCTGAGGGCCAAAAACCCTAGTCACATTATTCGGAGTAGCTCTTTCAAGAAAGGGTTCTGCTTTGGTCTGCTCTGCACCGGCCTTGCCACCCCAAGTCTGTGATTTAGGCCCTCATATTGGTTTGGGGGTACACTGAGGCCTCAGGGCAGTTTTTAGGAAATCAGAATTTGCCCTGAATTGTCAGGGCTGCACAGGGTGAGGTATCCTGAAATGTCAGTGCGATATTTGACTGTATCCTGGCAGTTCGGTGCTACATTTCGTACAACCCTGTATATTTCGCGCGTGCTATGTTAGCGGGGTTCGAAATGCTCTCCGCATTCGAAGTGTGTACAGCTGATGCTCACCCCATGCACGCGAATTTGCCTTGCGCCGGATGGATACGCTGCACCCGAGGTTGTTTCCCCAGCTTCATGCACCTACATTACAAGCGCGTCGCGTGGTTATCAACCAGTAGTAACGAACAGACCGACGTCAAACTAGGTACAGACCGAAGTCAAGCAGAGGAGACTGAAGTCAAACTAGGTTACAGATCTTGTTTATAAGCACATGCGAATCATTTTTAGCTAGCTGCGAATTGCCGAAACTTATGCGAAATGCTCGTGACAGCTTATACGCCCCCTTCGTAAGGCAACCGGGAGGGGCTCAAACAGGCATCAGGTGTAATGCTGGGGTGCAGCTGCAAGTGGCTGGCAGTGCAAGTCGCTGGCAGCTGCATAGTGCGTAACTGTTACAACCCAGTACAAGCTGATGGCGAAGGTGGCAGTGGACATCGTGGGCCAAATTGGCTAACAGAAGTGGCGCAACTATTATTCCTGATGTAATTGTTCTCCGCGTTATCTCACATGAAGTGCGGTAGTGGGTGGTTTGCCAGTCTGTTACACAAGAGGTTGCCAGCTCGATTCCCGGTGGCTCTATGGGGTCTGTTTCTGGGTGCTCGCCCCTAAGTCCAGGAGATTTTTGGTACAGTACATCTCGCTTCAGGGCGAGATTCGACACTATCCTGAGTCGTCAGGGCCGAACCTACAGGGTTATCCTGAAGTTTCAGTACGTAAAATAACCATTATACTGATTTTACAGGACAAGATATTCCCCTATGCTGTTTTTTCAGGAGAAGCACACGACACCTATCCTGAATTCAGGAGAATCAGGATAAATTATCCTGATAACATAGGCCCTGTGATTCGTGAATCAGGGTGAGTGAATGAGGCACCAACAGGCACGCACAGCAGGTGCCACCCACATTCAGGGTCACAGCACAGCACAGCAGCACTCTGGACTGGCGGCTGTAATGAGTGCCCAA